CCGGGCGCCGATGCCGAGGGGAAGCGACCCCCTGGGCGCCCCCGGCCCCGCCAGGGTCGCTCGAAGAGGTCAGCGTTGGGCAGCGCGAGGTGCCCAGAGCAGCCTCTGCGTTTGGTGGCCGGTTTGGGGGACGGCCCTGGCTGTCACCGCTCCCTGAAGGGCGGCCAAGCCCTTCACCGGGAGGCAGCGAGTGCCGTGAGTGGTTTACGGCTCGCTTTGGGGTGAAAAGGTTTCTTTTTGTTCCCGTAATGCTGGCGGAGCTCACGCTATCTGCTGGGATCGGGCCAGCTGCCGGGTTCGTTGTCGTTTGATCGGATCCTCCCTGTCAGCCCAGCCTTGGAGCGTACTTCCAGGGCTCCTTTCCTGCAAGGGCATGTTCACGCTCCCCCTCGCTTCACTGCTTGGGAACCAGCTACGGGCTTTATCGTTTTATATTTGGGTTTTTTTTTTCTCCCACAACATCACCCGTTCACAGCTGGGCGTCTCCCAGCCCTGCCCCAGGTGTTTGCTGTGCCCAAACCTCCCGGTGATGGGATTTGAAGGCAGCTTTTACTGATTCATCTGTATCCTGGTGGTATCTGGGAGGAATATTTGATCCCAGCAGCATCATGTGCTGTGGCCAACCATTTGGTTGCGGCCCAGGTAGTCCAGAGGGCACGAACCACTGGGAGAAACGCTCCTGTCTGGAGGCGCTGGGAAAAGGCCGGGGCTGTTTCCCGAAGAAGGGACACGTGTGTGGGTGATGGCAGGCTGGGAGAGGAGTGTTCGCAGTGAGCAAAGAAGCCTCAAAATCAGTGAAAGGATGACAAAAGAGGGACGGGGGGTTGTGGTGGGAAGCTGGGGAGCACCGAAAGGGTCAAGCTCCCACGTGGAGGCAGCAAAATCCACCATTCACGCAGACTTACAGCGGCCTTAAGCCTCGCGCTGGTGCCAGCCTAATTTTGTGCCAACTTAGCAAAAAAGGGACCGGATCACCCTCCGGCGGCTGCGTTACCTGGATAAAGAAGATTTTGGGTATTTCGGTGAGCACCGGGCACTCCTCTGAGGCTAAAATCCAGAAAATCCGGCTCAGCCGAACGGGCTCCGAGTCGCAGCCGAAGACGACCCCCTCCTCGCCGTGGCTGGAGATGATGCTCACAAAGTAGTCCCCGTGCCGGCAGCCGCGCTCTGCCACGAGCCGGCCGAGGCGATGAGCGGTGCTTGGACCGGTGGAGGGTGCTCAGACCAGCGAGGTGGGGCGTGGGGAGGCGGCTGGGCGTGGGGGAGGATGAGGAGGGGCTTTAGGGGGTAGGGGGGGGACACACACACACGCGTACCTCGCTGGTAAAGGGCCTCCATCTCCTTGGCTGTCTTGTTGTGCGTCAGCGTCACCTCGTAGTTGAGCCGGGAGAGCGCCCTGGAAAGCTTCTCCGCTTCCCTCCTGGCTCCCCTCCGCGTCCCAAGCACCGCGGCGCCGGCGCCGCTGCGGAAATCGGTGTTGACGATGATGAGGGCCCGGCTTTGCCTGGGCTGGGACATGCTGGGGGGTCCCCCTCGGCTGGGGAGGTGACCTCCAAACACACACACACACACACCCCCACCCCGGCTGGGGAGCTCGGGCTCGTCTGGCTCCTTC